TGGGCTCCCTGCTTGGCGGGAAGCCTGCTTCTCCCCTCCCCCCACTCCTCCTGCTTGTGTTCCCTCTCTTGCTGTGTCTCTCTCTGTCAAATAAATAAAATCTTAAAAAAAAAAAATTCATAATATTCATTGAGCACCTCATATGTGTTCCATAACAGAACAGGTATAAATTACTGCTCTAGTGGAACTTACATTCTAGTGGGGAAGATATCAATAAACTAAATAAGTAAATTACATAGTCTGCTATGGGAAAAAGTAAAGCAGGGAAGGGAATAGGGAGAACAGTAGCAGGGTCGAGGTGGCAGTTGTAAACTGGCAAGTTCTTTTCTCTATGAGAAATGGTACTGCTTTATTCTTTGCATGTTAGCACTTTATATTTATTGATAGAACTTTATTTATATAGCTTTATTTATTTATTTTATTTATTGGAGGGGGGCAAGGGGTAGAGGGAGAGAGAGAATCTTAAGCAGTCTCCACACACAGCACAGAGTGTGATGTGGCGCTTGATCGCACAGCCTGAGATCATGACCTGAGCTGAAATCAAGAGTTGGACGCTTAACCAACTGAGCCACCCAAGCACCCCCGTATAGCACTTTATATGTCATTTTGCAAAGCACGCTAATATCTCATATTTTATTTTTATTCCCATTCATTGATTCAACAAATGTGGGTCAGACTTGTGCTAGACTCTGGGGTACAGTGGAGAATAAAAACAAATGTGGCATCTGTATGAAGTCTTTAGGGCTATTTCTACATTATTTCCATATTAGAGGAACTCACTGATAACCAATTTACTTATCTCTTTCACAAATATTTCTTGAATCTTACTCGGTACTGGATACTATAGTAATTGATAGGTTAGCAAGATTGACATGGTCTCTATTCTTATGAGTCTTATAATTTAATGATAAGACAAATGTTTAAACAAGCAGTTGCCTTCTCTGGCTCTAGTAAGGAGATGATTGGAAGGCAACAGGAGTAGAGGAAGGAGGCCAGTAAAGAGCAAGAAGAAGTCACCCAAGAAAAATATGATGATGGCCTAGATTGGGGTGGAGGCATGTAGAAATAAAGGATGATACTAGAGGTAAAGACAAACTCTCTTTAGGAGGTGGAATTACAGTGCTGGGGAACGTGGGTGATGGATGATACCACTCACAAAGGAGGAATGGGATGAGTTCGGTTTTCAAGATCCTAAGTTTAGGGGCACCTGTGTGGCTCAGTTGTTGGGCGTCTGCCTTCAGCTCAGGTCATGGTCTTGGGGTCCTGGGATGGAGCCCCACATTGGGCTCCCTGTTCGGCGAGAAGCCTGTTTCTCCCTCTCCCACTCCCCCTGCTTGTGTTCCCTCTTTTGCTGTGTCTCTCTCTGTCAAATAAATAAATCTTTAAAAAAAAAAAAAAAAGATCCTGAGTTTAGAGGACAGAGCATGCAAGACATCCAAGTGTCATGTCTCTGAACCTCGTGAGACATGCCAGAACTAGAAATGTGGATTTGGAAGTTATCAGCAATAAATAGTAACTGAAGCCATGGGAGTAGATGAGGTCATCCAAACATATATAAAATGAAAAGAGAAAATGGCCTAAAAGAGAATTCTGGGGGTGCCTGGGTGGCTCAGTCGTTAAGCGTCTGCCTTCAGCTCAGGTCATGGTCCCAGTGTCCTGGGATCGAGCCCCGCATCGGGCTCCCTGCTCGGCGGGAAGCCTGCTTCTCCCTCTCCCAATCCCCCTGCTTGTGTTCACTCTCTCGCTCTCTGTCAAATAAATAAATAAAATCTTAAAAAAAAAAAAAAGAATTCTGAAGCATTCTATCACTTAAGAGGTAAGCAGAAGACTGTCTATGAAAGGCCCTAAGAAAAGGTAGGTAGAAGTACAGGAGGAAACGTGGGAGGTGTTGAGGCCCTGGAGCCTAGGGAGGAGTGGGTTTCAGCACTGTGGACATACTGAGTGTGCAGAAAAGCCAGGTAAGAAAAACTGAAGTGTGCCCATTGGGTCCGCCACAACCAGTTTGTTTGTGTAGCTATGGTGAGTAAACAAACTGTTGTGGTGTGATGCCTGAAAGGGGGATGAGGAAGTCGACACAAAATTAATATTGTTGTCATTAACTGGGGAGGAAGATAGGATGATTCTTGGAGAGAAAAATGGAGGGGAAGGAGGATTTTATTTTTCACTGTAGTTAATTTTTTTTTCTCTAGGATGGAAAGGACTTGGATATTTTAAAAACTGATAGGAAAGAGCCAACGGAGAGGGAAGATATAGGAAGAAGAGAATTGAAGGAACAAAGTCCCAGAAAAGCTGGGGGTGATGGAGGGACAAGAGACGACTCTTCCTTTTTAACAGAAGTTATAAAGAACAAGATATGGTTATGGATTCAGATGTATTTTTAGTTTGGCAAGAAAAGGATATTTTATGGTTTCTATATTTTCTGTGAAGTTGGAAGCAAACTCATCTGCTGACAGAGAGGGATTTCATAGCTTTAGAAAGAATGGAGAAGATTTGACTTCCTTCCATGGGGGATGGAAGAGTAGACTAGAGAAATATGTCAGGTCAAGGAGGCGGCATGGAGGGTCCACTTGAGGCAAGCCAAGTTATATGATCTTCTCCAGCAGTGCTCAGCAACCTGGGTGCAAATGCAAAAGAATCAGCCAAAGGTGGGATTTTGCCAGGTGCTAAAATGGAGAGATAGTAGGTAAGGAAATTGAGAATATTGGTAAGAAAGTGATTGAAATGACTAAGAATAGAATCTAAGTTTGAATCGGAAGAAAGGAGGTGAGCTTATGAAAAATGTGGACCAGAGGTTCCCATGAGATTAAAGAACTGAAGTCTTGGGAATCTTCTAAGAGATCTGAAAATATAGATGTTTTGGTCTGACAATGGTTTTAGAGAGGGAGTGACTCTTGATGTTGATAAGTTCCTCAGTGAGGCTGTTGGAGTGCTTAGCTGAAGTGGAATTCAAGAAAGAGAGACCAGAGTGTTGCATGGGTCATTCACGTGGATTTAGAGTCACCTTAGATGATAGGGGCACTTGAGGTAGAAGGGAAGACTGAATCAAATGCTAAAATTTTAGATGCTAGATCAATAAATAACAGCAATGAGAAGGAGGTAGAAGGTATTAGAATCTGATGGCATGTACATGAAATGAGCTGATTTTTTTAACATTCTCTTATGGAAGTACAACATATATTAACAAAAGTATACAAATTTGACATATGCAGATATTAATTTTCATGTAGTGATTCTACTTCTGTAGCCACCATTCAGTCAAGAAATACATTTCTGAAATCTCAGAAGCCCCCACCTCATGCCTGCTTCCCATCACTTTCTTTCCCTTTTCCGTAAATAAAGCCATTGTCTGATTTCTAAAACCTTGTATTAGTTTTGCCTGTTTTTTGAACTTTATGTAAATGGAATCATATACCATGTACTGTATTCTTTTAATTCTGGTTACTGAAGCACAATATCATGTTCACGAGATTCATCCATATTGTTTCATATAGCAGGAATTTATTGATTTTTATTGCTGTATAGTACACTATTTCATTGTATGACTACAACACAATTTACTCATCTTTCTACTGTCAATAGACATGTGGCCCTCTCCCTAAGTTTTAGCTATGATCATTCTGATCATGTCTTTTGATACATATACGTATATACTTCTCTTACATATATACCAGAATAGAATTGCTGGGTCATAGAGTATGAATATGTTCAACTTTAATAGGTAATACCAGTTTTCCAAAGCTCTTGTATCAATAAACACTCCTGTCAGCAGCACAGGAATTTTGGTTGCTCTGTCTTCTGACCACTGTTTGACATTGTTGTTCTTTTAAAATTTAACCATTCTGGTGGATGTGTTTTAGTATTTCATTGTGCTTTAAATTTGATTTCCCTGATAATTAATGAGGTTGATACGTTCTTTTGTGAAGTGCCTGTTCCGATATATTGCCATTTTTTTTTCCCTATTGGGTTGTCTTTCTCTTCTTGACTTGTAGGAATTTTTTGTATATTTTGGGTATGAGTTTGGTGGAGTTATGTGTAGCAGATAGCTTCTCCCACATGGTAGCCTGATTTCTGATTTCCTTGCTAGTGTCTTTTGATAATCAGAAGTTTTTGTTTTAATGTAGTCTAATTTATGACTCTTTTCATGGTTTGTGCTTTTTGTAGACTGAGATAATTGTCTACCCCAAGGTCATGAAGGTAGTCTATGTCCAGTTCTGTTCAACAGAAATTTGTCAAAAAATACAGATGTTTATATCTGTGCTGTCCAGTGCAATAGTCATTAGACACATTTAGCTCTTGAGCCCTGGAAATGTGGCTAGTGTGACTGAGGAACTGGATTTTAAATTTTATTAAATTTTAGTAAATTTAAATAGTCACATGTGGTTGTTAATTATGCTGTTGGGCAGCTGTGTTACCTAGATGCTTTATTATTTTACCTTTCAGATTATTTCTGTGAGCCACTGGGAACTGGTTTTTGTTTGTGGTATGAGGTATAGGTCAAATTTCATTTTTTTTCCATGTAAATATCCAGTTGGTGGCACAGCACTATTTATCAAGAAGATTGTCCTTTCCACACTGCTCTGTCACTTGTGTTGCATATTAAATTTCCACATATGGGGCGCCTGGGTGGCTCAGTTGGTTAGGCGACTGCCTTTGGCTCAGGTCATGATCCTGGAGTCCCTGGATCGAGTCCCGCATCGGGCTCCCTGCTCGGCAGGGAGTCTGCTTTTCCCTCTGACCCTCCTCCCTCTCATGCTCTCTGTATCTCATTCTCTCTGTCTCAAATAAATAAATAAAAAATCTTTAAAAAAAAAAAAAATTTCCACATATGGACAGGTCTGTTTCTGGATTCTCTGTTTATTCAGTTGTCTGTCTTTTTGTCAGTATCACACTATCTTTATTACTGTAGGTTTATAGTAAATCTTGATATCCAGTGGAGGAAATTGCCTAATTTTATTCTTCTTTATCTTAGCTGTTCTTGACTCTTCATTTTCATTTAAATTTTATAAGCAGCTTATCAATTTCCACAAACTCATTCTGGGACTTTGGTATTAAATTAGATCTGAGATCAACTTGGAGTTAGTAGGAATTTTTACAGTATTGACTCTTCCAATTTGAATATGGTATATCCCTCCTTTAATTTAGTTAAATTTTTGCCTTTAATATAATTTTATAGTATTCTACTTATAGCTCTGCCATATCTTTTGTTGAATTTTCTTAGCTTCTTGCTTTGTCTATGGCCTCCAGTATGTTGTTGAATAGAAGTGATATGGGCATTTCATTCCCAATTTAAAGGGAAATCTTTCAATACTTTAAGTATGAGACTTACATTAGGTTTTATTGTAGGTATTCTTTATGTGATTGAGGAAGTTTCCTCCTATTCCTAGTTTACTCAGTGTTTTTGAGATGTTGATTTTTTTAATTCAATGCTTTATCTGCATCTTTTGAGATGATCAATGACTTCTCTTTTACTCTCTTAATATGGTAAATTACATTGATTTTCAAATGTTAAATTAACCTTATATTCTTGGGGAAAATCCAATTTGGTTTTAAAATACTTCCCCTCACTATATTGCTGGATTTTGTTTGCCAATATTTTGCTTAGGACATTTTCATTCATATTCATAAGAGAAGTTCACCTATAATTTTTCTTTTTTTTCTTTTTTTTCAGTTTCAGATATCAAGGATACATTACCTCCATAGATGGGTTGGGAAAGAATCTTTTTTTTTTTTTTTCTATTCTCTGGAGGAGTTTATGTTATATTCATGTTATTTCTTCTTTAAATGTCTGGGAAAATTAATCAATGAAGCATCTGGGTCTGGAGTTTCCTTTATGGGAAGGTTTTTAATAAAATGTATGATTTCTTCTGTAGATGTCTTACTGTCTAGCTATCAGTCTTATTGTGGCTTCTTCAAAGATAGTCAGTTTTTTCTCTGGCTGCTTTCAGGATTAACTTTTTGTGTGTTTTTTTGTTTGTTTTTAGCCATTTTATGTGTATTTTCTAGTCTTTATCCTCCTTTAGATTCATGGTTCTCTTTGAATGTGTGGCTTGATGTTTTCCATTGGTTTTTGAAAATTTGTGGCCATTTCCTCTTTAAATATATTGCTTCTGCCCCAGGCTCTCTATACTCTCTCGGTGACTCTAATTACAGGTATTTAGACCTCTTTACCGTATATCATATGTCTGTCATGCTCTTTTCCTTTTCCTTTTTGTTTTTCTATGCTTCATTCTGATTTTTTTCCTTGACCTATCTTCCGGTTTCATCTGTGTAAATACGCTATGAAAGCCTTTCAATGAGATCTAAATTTGAGTTATCGTATTTTCGGGTCTAGCGTTTTAATTTAGTTCATTAAAAAAAGTCCAGTTTCCTACTAAAATGTTCAAGCTTGTCCTGAATATATTAATAGAAGTTTGAAGTCCATGTCTGCAAAATTCTTTATCTGAATCATGGGGTTATTTCTATTGTCTGTTTTTTCTCTTGGGTTTTGGTGAAATCTTTTCATCTATCTACATATTTAATAGCTTCTTTTTATTAGGATCCAGATGTTGTGTGTATAAAACTTAGAGAGATAATCTAAGGCTCTGTGAAATGTTATTTTTCTCCAGAGAGGATTTATTTCTGCTTCAGGCAGGCAGCTAGCTTAGGGCACTAGCAATTTCTGATCACATTGATCCAGTTAAGGATTGAGATGTTTCGAAGCTGGGCTTCAGTTGCTGTAAGGACTGAACTGTTTCCAGTACCCTTACTTTTGAAGTTTAGTCCTTCTAAATCCAATCCAATGTAAATCTAAATGTGTTTACCAGGGGCCCTCTTCCTTGGTGGACTCTGAACTTTCAGAATCAGCAGTCAAAAAGGCAAAAGGCCATTCCAAATTCCAGCTTCACTTTGCTGGGCTTCCTTCTCCTCTTGATTCTTTGTCCTGTAATCTCATTTTTTTGTAACTCTTGGATGCCTTCTAACAGATACTAAATTTTTTTCCAACCTGTCTAGTTCCTAGTTGGAACCATGCTGGACATGGAACTTGTTTGGGCTTTTTGATGAAGGTTAGGCAGGGGCTGTTTGGAATTGGCAGTGGGAAGGATTCCCCCCGCCCCAGCACTGAGTTTCTATTTGAGAGGATTGCAAGGAAAAGAGAGTCTTAAGGGGCTGTTAGATTTTAGTCAGAACAAAAATTAAAGGATTATGTGCTGAGAAAGTTGGAGAGTTTGGAGGAGGGGAGGGTCAATGTAAACTTTTTTTTTTCCTCTTTTTTTCTTTAGGATGGATTGGTTGAACTAGATGACATCTAAGTTTCCATATAATTTGAAATTCTAGGATTCTATTAAATGAGCTGGGCTTCCATTCAGGTTAATTTAGAAGTTTAATTAGAACTTAAAGTTTCTCCTATAGAGATAAGGAGGCTTATCATCATAAAGAAAACTTCCAGGTTTTAATTTCAGCACAATAGCTTCCAGCTGTAAAACATCGAACCAGCTTCTTTCCATAGTACACAATGGGATTCTAAAATCTTAAGTCCAAAGGGAACCAGTTGCAATATTATCTGCTAGGAATTTACTATTCTGTGGATCATTATATAGTGTTCATTTATGGAAACTGCCTCATTTCTCTATATCTTACAGTGTATTAGGATTTTATTATTTCTTATATATAACCTACAGATTCTGGATCATTCTCTACCCATGATGTAATGGCCTCCACTCATCTAACTTCTCCTGGATCCTCAGACTCATTCTCTCCTGGATCCTCAGACTCATTCTGTCCTGCCCTTTCTGTCCCCCAACTATGTTTCCCACTTCTCCCTCTATGCCATACTTTTCACTATGCTGTCTGGAATTCCTCTTCCATGGGGGAGAAAGTTTCAGTTATTCTCAGCCATTCCACTGACCGTTCCTTTCAGTTACTGTCTTTAACTGAATCTGGCTCTCTCTTCCCCTGCAGCCTTCTCTTTCCTGAACATCTCTAACTGCCATGTGAGGCTCATGCCCCCTTCAGCCTTGTAGGAAATCTGTTAGCACCTTGTGGCCAGGGCTGTTTCACCACCCACCATCCTGATCTCTCAAGGACTGCCTCTTATTCCCATACTCCTGTATTCCCACTCCGGCAGTTCCCAGCTGCACTGAGTCCTTCAGTCCATTTACCACTTTGCTTTTTACACTCACCACCTCTGTACCTCAACATTCTCACACCTCTCTATAGCGGGTGTAGGCTCTATGACCCAGGTCAGTAGTCATTCTCTTCCAAACCCTTTAATATCCTATATCTCTCTCTTGTTGTGCCCATCTCCAAGCAATTGAACATCTCTGGGGAAAAAAAGTCACACAGCCATATTGTTGAAGCCCACTTCAAATTGATA